CACATAATTAGGAACAAGCATTTTAAAAAATAGAGTCCTGACACAAACATGTGAAATCCAGGACTTTCTGTGGTACTTTCTTCCTAAGATTTGGGAATGGGGGGAAGTTGGAGGGGGGGGAAGAGTTTGTTTGGGAACTCTGCTACAAATGTTTGGATGTGTCCTGCTTCAACATTGTATGAAACTCTACCGCTAGTTTTTGGCAGCTGCAGTCAGGGAAGGGTCAAAAATTAAATAATATCACTAAGGTGCCCAACCAAAGAGGGTGGGACCTCAGAAAATCCTATTTCCACCTCCTTTGTACTATTATCTAAATCAGGGGTCCTCAAACTTGGCCCTTTTATGACTTGTGGACTTCAACTCCCAGAATTCCTCAACCAGCGTGCCTGGCTGAGGAATTCTAGGAGTTGAAGTCCACAAATCATAAAAGGGCCAAGTTTGAAGATCCCTGATCTAAATCATATGCCCTCCCCCGCTTTTAAAAATACGTTTAGTCCAGTCTCTGACCCTCAGTAGGCTGCCTTCTCCACCACAAAACCCATAAATCCATCCTCTGTCAATAAAATATTATGAATTACAATGTTAAGAACTGTACATTTTCATGAAAGGATTCAAAGAAATTATTAATATTAATTTTGTATTTTTCCTTTTGAAATATTTTCTTTTTAAACATTCATTTATTTTCCCTCACAATATTTTTTAAATGTCCCCCATTTAGAACATGTAAGTTACTTACTGTCCTGAAAATGGCTTAATGAGCAGTTATTGATGTCAGTTTTGAGGAATGAGGATAATTAAAATATATCATGTTGGCAAGAGCTAATGTTCCAAAATATTCGTTATTTGTCTCTTCCTCCTTTTTTAAAGAGCAAAAGTGTATTTATATGTTGAAGGAGAGAATCACTGCAAATTGCCAATTTTCCTCTCTGATTTTTTTGGACCAACCCCCCCCCCACACTCATGTTACTCCTATCTTATTTCATGGTGATAGAATTGGGAATTTGGGGGGGCAGGTTATTTCTTTATAAAGTAACTTCATGCATGAACCTCCTAGGGGAAGAAAATTGGGGAGATTGGAGAAAAAATTGGATACTTTCCACCCAACTTCATTATCCGAGTGCGTGCAGGAGAACGTGTGCATAAGGTCATGAGGTCCTTCGTGGGCAACAAAGAAATCGGTCAGATTACATTAAAAAAGGATCAGGTATGTACGTCTCTTTGAAGTACTTCATTCAGACATAAATAAATGCCCCCCTCTCCACACTATTCTGAACAGCCAAAACAATGCTAACGTTAGTAATGTTTCCACCCTGAGCTGAAAGATCCCATTCACCGGAAAATTGCCACATATTTCCCCACAAATTGGTCTTATATCCCATCCTTTCTGGCAGACAATTTAAAAGTTAAGTAAACAAATGTTACAATACGGTAATAGCTTCTCTTTTTTTCCTGCCAATTCTTTCTGAAACTGAGGAGTGGGGTTTTCGTTGAGTTTTCTGATAATTATCACCTAAGCAAGAGCTAGGAGCAGAAGAGTTTCTGATCACTCTTAGATTTATACTGAGTATCTGGGGAATCTGGGGTACACAATCGTTATAAAACCCAGCATTTTTTAACACTTCATCTAAATAACATTCAGCCCCCAAGCAATTCTAAGTTTTCTCTAACCTCTGGTCATGTGCTACTTATTAGTAGTTTCCCCCCCCCCACTCCTCCCTTTCTCCTTCCCTCCACATAAATTCTACAAGAACTCCTTCCTAGAAAAATGGCAACCTACTTGGGGATTCTGCCTCATCTAACTTCTCTTATCCATTTATAGATTGTGGTGCAGAAAGGAGAGGAGCTGAATGGGTATGTCAAAGTCTACACTGGCCGCAAAGTGGGGCTCTTTCCCGTTGACTTCTTGCAGGAGATCTGAGGTCCAACCCTGGCAATTCACAAGGGTTTCATACCCAAGGCCAGAGTGTTTTTAAGTGTTCATTGCCAGCTGCCAACGCCTCTCTGCAAGGAAGCTGCGTTCTGCAGGTCTGTGGTCCAAGAACTAAGACATCACACGAAGAAGGCCTGTGTCAGTGAGCCAGGATTCAAGGCAAGAAGCATACCTATCTGCCACCGGAGAGGACTCCGTGCTTCTCTTGAACTCTGCAATTTGCTGCTGGCAGATTCCAGAACAGGCTCAGCCGTTGTCCCTTTATGATCTTGCCATGGAGGGATGTGGCCAAAGCTGCTCTACTTCTTGTCTGCAAAGAAAGTAGCGATTGGACAGATTGATTGACAGAACTGACAAAGAGTTACTGTTAGGTTGCACTAACATGTGCATGGATTTACTTCAGGATATGACTGTCCCTTTGCTGGCAGAGGGGGAGCCTGGCTCCTAGTTTACTTGGATGGCTTAGATTCAATTATGTTTTGCCAATATCTGTTGCCCTTTTCTATCCCTCATTGGTCTATCTGTGCTGATATAAAGCAGCAAGTTTCTGGATTAATAGAGGAGAATATTGGTAGCTCAGGCTTGAAATGAGGCGTCCTTAGCGCTCTCTGAGCTTTTTTTTTTTTTTTTTGCAGATATTTCATTACGCAAACTAGATAACATCATCAGTTGTAGCACCGATGATGTTACCTAGTTTGGGTAATGAAACATCTGCAAGAAAACAACCAAGCTCAGAAACTTCCAAGGACTCCTCAGTTTCTGTATTTGCTGTGAGTTGCTGGCTGGGAGGCTATGAAATTGTTCTGCTCCCTTAAATTGTACTGATACTTATATGACTCTTGTTATCCTCTTCCATATTTTTTTTTTTTTTGTGCCTTCAAATTATTGTCGATTCCTTGCAACTGCCTGGACTAGTCCCTGCATTTTACGTGGCAGGATTTTTCAGAAGTAACTTGCCCTTGCCTGCTTCCTAGGGTGGAAAGAGAGTCACTGGCCCAAGGTCACTGGCCCAAGGTCACCGGCCCAAGGTCACTCAGCTGGCTTTATGCCTAAAGTGGGACTAGAACTTACAGCCTCCTGGTTCCTAGCCTGATGCTTTAACCTAGGGGTCTTCAAACCTGGCCCTTTTATGACTTGTGGACTTCAACTCCCAGAATTCCTCAGCCAGGCATGCTGGCTAAGGAATTCTGGGAGTTGAAGTCCACAAGTCATAAAAGGGCCAAGTTTGAAGACCCCCTGCTTTAAGCAGTGCACCAAACTGGCTCTTGTCCTCTTCCACTACTTTCCTTCTATTGTGAAATTATGGCTGGTCACACAGTAGCCAGATGTTTAGATTGCATTTCGCGTTTTTGTCCATCTATTGCATCTTTCCCAAGGATCTGGGATAGGCAGAGGTAATTGTTTAAAAAGGATTTAAGGATATTGTTGCAATGTATGTGTGCCTTTTGCAATTGATGGTGATTTTGTCAATGCTGATGACATTCAACCGGTGCTCCAGATGTTTTGGAATTACTCCCAAGGCGCCTGTTATTATTGTTACCATCTTTGCTTTCTTTTGGCATAGTTGTTCTACATATATTTACAGGTCTTTATATTTTGTGATTTTCCTCTACTTCTTTCTCTTCTCTTCTGCCGTTTCCAGGTACTGCAATATCCACTATCCAGACTTTTTTGTCACTATTATTTTGCACTGTCCCTTTCTATATCCTCTTCTGCCTCTAGTTATGAAAGAGATCTGATGTGCTACATGTTCTTATTTTAAGCAGCATTTCTGCTGCCATGCCTTTGTTTGCTTATATGATACGAGCATGCAAAATTCCTAAAAGCTGGAGCTCAGTAAAGTGGGGAAACTACTTGGTTGTCAAAAGGCCACTGACTGATCTGTATCTTGCTCCCAGGATTTTCATGCAAAATGGAAAGAGGTCTAAACTCAAAATTCATCTGGAACAGACAAATCTTTAGTAAAGGCGGAAACGTGAAAATAACGTTTCATTAGGTTGTATTTTTAATGTTTGAAACTGCCTTACTGAACACTCCATCTCATAAGGGACTGGAGAAAAAGCTCTTTTTCTCCTTTCTCAGATCACTGGAGGCAATTATTCAGGAGACCCTATAAATCAGGGTAGCAAATTGGTTGCTTTCCAGGCATTTTGGATTACAATTGGACTATCATAAAGACAACATGGTCAATAGCCAAGGAATTATAGCTAGATACCTATCAAGTGATGCATTTTAGTGTCCGGAATAGTGTGTATATTTAGTTCATGATAGCTACAGCTCTTTACTTTATCCTCTCAGTTTACTCTGCCTGTTCATACCTTGCAGAGTAATTCGTACATGCTCTTGTGCACAATTCTCATATGCTAGGAATTCCTTGTACACTGACACACTCAAACTTACGTTCACGAAAAAGTCAAGCTAAATAAATTTATGCTCGTGTTTCCTAAACCTTGCTATCAACCCCCTTTACATCATACTTGGGTTTTATATGCATTTGGGTATCTGCATGTATAACTGCAAGCGGTTTCATATTTCCTGTAAATCAGTAGGATGTTGCTAAGGTAGCAATGCTGCCTGTTTCTCACTTTAATGTTCTCATCCCATGGCCCTGTATCTGCAGTTTCCCTTGTGATTTCTATGCCTCTGTATTTATTGCAGACTGCACAACTACCAATTTAATATGTGTGATTTGTTTTCTGATTTTGATTTCTTTCTTTCTTTCTTTCTTTCTTTCTTTCTTTCTTTCTTTCTTTCTTTCTTTCTTTCTTTCTTTCTTTCTTTCTTTCTTTCTTTCTTTCTTTCTTTGTCTGTCTGTCTGTCTTCTACTTTTGTTTCATACTTTCCTTGTATTTCATGGTTCATCCAGTGTCTCCCAGATGGAGCTAATGCATCCACAAAATTCTATTTATTAATTTGTTTTCCTGCCCAAATAGTACTAACTTTTTCCTTTTAACCCAACCCCATTGTCATTTTTACTCTACAATTAGATGTTATAGTTTTGGGAGCTAGTCTACTCTACTCAACAGCTTATAATTTGAGCCAGCCCTGATGTGTTTCCAAATAGAGAATTGTAAAAATGAGTAATAATGTTTTGGATCTGGATTTCTGGATTTGCTACTTCTGGGCCCACGTGGTGCAGACCCAACTCCTATAAACCCATGTTTATGGAAACGTGAACTAACTGCATCTCAATAGGAAAGCTTGAAATATCTTCATTAATAAGAAAAGATTGCTTAGCGAGAACAAAAAAAATTCTAGTGTGTCTCAGAAGGAAAAATATATGGAAGTCAGCTAAATTAGGGGTCCCCTACTCTCGGGCTGTGGCCTGTTTGGAACTGGGCTGTGTGAATGACGGGCTGGCGCACATGCACACAGCTTGAGTTGCAGGAGCAGTGGGCCAGGGCACATGTACACAAGCTCACAGCTCAACTTGTGCAAGTTGGGCTGCGCACACATGCATGTGCACGCTGGCCTGTGCAGGGTTTTTTTTCTCATAGAACACCCAGAACGGAGTTCCGGCACCTTTTTTGGATGGAACCTTGTAGGGTAGGCAAGGCGGGTTGTATGACGTGTGACAAGTTCCGGCACCTTTTTTTTTTTTTTTAGAAAAAAAGCACTGGGCCCGTGCAAGTCAAGCGGCATGCATGCGTACTGGCCTGCTGCTCATGCAGCCCGATTCCCCTCTACCCCCTTCCCCTGCCGGGCTGCCAAGCCACAAAGGTTGGGACTGCTGACCTAAATATACACCTAAAATATCACACTGGGGATTAATGGCTGGTCATTTCATGTTAAAGTCTAAAGAACAAGGCAGAAGGGTTCTACAGCTGTCATTAATATTAATCAGGGCTTTTTTTTCTCATAGAACGCCCAGAACGGAGTTCTGGCACCTTTTTTGGATGCAACCTTGTAAGGTAGGCAAGGCGGGTTGTATGACGTGTGTGAGTTGTATTAATACATTTCAGATAATTTAGGTATTATCTGAGGCTAATGAGCAATCTCTTTTCTTTTCCTTCCATACTACTTCACAATTCATTTTTGAGTTGGCAGGGCAGGACAGGGCATCTCCCACAGCAAAGTATTACTAGGTACCTGGTCTGTTAATGAAAGTGTTTTCCATCCGTCTCCTGCTGCACTGGAAATCTGTATATATATATTTTTTCTTTTGGGGGCGGCTGCCTGTGCATCTGTTACATTTCTACTTCATCCAAGGATTTCAGGGCTCAGCTATATATGGACAAAGAGAAGAAAAAGTTAGGATATAGGAATAATTTGCACTTGTTAGGATATATATACAGGAAGTGTTTGCACAAATAAGATGATTTTAAGCACAAAATAATAATAGAGAAGAATACAAAATGTTTTTGACTATATATCTCCAGCTGTCTGTCTAGAGGCATTTAGAATTGCATCAGTGGGTAATCAGGAAACTGACAGCTAAGATGGAAGTAAGTTGACAAAGGAATACAAATTGAGGATACTTCTGTCTACAACTCTATAATTAATGCAAATATCTATACCATATTGT